ATCATCGAGTGGCGTTTCCACTTCCCAGGACGAGGACCTAGGGGTTGGATTTTGGGAAGCGATGTTGGTGTTATGTGACGGGGTTGTTTACGGCTGTTACGCATGATACGTAAATGAATGGATGCGATGAACACGTTAGATAATGGTTCAGTTTTGAATGTTATCGTGAGGGGTGTTTGTAAGGAAGTGTTGTAATGAATATATACATATATAAAAATAACATAAAATCTACAATTAATGAAATTCGCGCTGACGATAAATTAAATAATACATACCTGCCTGATGTTGAGTATGCCATTATCAAGATGGTGAAAACTCTAGAGCGAGGTCTGGTAATTACAATTGTTGAACTGATGCAGATGGACATAAAATTTGTGACATTTTACTGCTATGTCTCTTCTATCAATTAATGTATCTGTACCAATGTATCATAGACTTGTAATATCAGCCGTGTATTTGTATCTGTGCCTTACGTCTGTTCTTGCCCCCTCTTCGCCACGTGGTGGGTCTAACTCGGTGGAGAGGAGTTATGTAATTCAGGGGTGTGTGACCGAGGGGTGAGTGTTTTATGGGCGGGGTGTGTCTCAGGGAGAGGGGTGAAGGGAAGTGGAGAGTGGAGAAAAGTAGAGATGAGTAAGGAGTGGAGTGAAGTGCGTGAAGGAAGGTATAGAGCCTGTGCAAGCAAGTCCGTAGAGATTTTTAGAACTTTGGAACTTTTTCCTACCCGGAGTGGAAGAGAAGAAAGGATCGTCGAAGCCCCATTTATGTCGGTATGTTTCCATGTATTCTTGTTACGTCAGCTTGAGCAATTTATTGTCGGGAGATTTTTGTTATCGATTCGCGATATACTAGATTTGTCGGACTCTGTATTTTTGTGTCTCATCTTTATCTTGGGAGTACTGTATTCTCCCAAGTATATTAGAGAAATATTGTTATAGAACTCAATGGTTGTTTTGTCTAGTCCCTATTGAGTCCAGTGGATTCTCCCTAATGAGCGTTTTTTTCCACCAAGCACGCTTGTTATATTTTTTCCCCTGGTAGAAGCACTCATATTTTATCGTGTTGATTCATTCACACGTTATTTTGTACCCCCACATAACAGTGTGCCATGGACTTGTAATATCATTCGTGTATTTGTACCAATGTGTCATGGATTTGTCCCCGGGTCCCACGCAATGAAGGCGTGCTCCCGGGCACAGGAATGTTTTTACGAAATATAGCAACGACGAATGGAAAGTAATCGTAATCGAATATTAAGAAAGGAATCGTGTATCTGATCCAATTTGTCCTCGACATGTAATATCAATCGTGTATTTGTACCAATGTGTTATTGACTTGTCCCCGGGTCCCACGCAATGAAGGCGTGCTCCCAGGCACAAGAATTACTATACTTACTATACTGTATCATTTACGTAGTATGTATCTTGTGTTTCCAAGTCTACATCTTCTTTTCTTTATGTTATTCTTCATTGCTTTTCGTCTTACATCTTCTATGTCAATCCCTTATTAGGCAGGTCGGAGATGTTTCCGTTAAACTGAAAAAACTGTAATTATCTTTTATTTAAAATTCAAAATGTAAGTGATGAATTCTAATTACTTAATCATATATAATTACAATCGTAGAAGTCACACAGGATTATTAATGTTTTAAAGGCGAGATAAATGTATAACTTTTACAATACTTGAAATTATCTTAGTTGTTGTCATAAATATTGTTTCTTCAATAATAAGTGTCGAAAGTATTGTTGAAATGATTATTTAATTCTTAAATTGTTTACGTCAAACTTTTAGCGATATATGAATATTAGTTTTTTCTTATAAAATTACTTTAATTACATAAGCTATTTAAATATTTCGGTGTTAAGCTGGGTATCGGTACCTTTTATTGTGTTATTCGCAATTTTGTTAGAATGAGAATACATTTTTTTTAACTTTAGAGTTCTGGAACCTTTTCTCAGCAGTAATTTCGCAGTTACGGAAGTATTTTAAATTATTTGAGATCACCAGGTATTAGTTATTTATGAATTTGTAAAATTATTTTAAATTCTTCTTTAATATATGTAAACAGCTGAACTTGAATATCTTTGAAAATAAATATAATAAAATTTATTATTAAAATTCGGTGCTAAGCTGACCTTACGATATTATCACGACGCGACGCGACTGAGTATTCGTTGCAAGTTCGACAGTGTAATGTACTGTACGGTACAATACGTTAAATAGTTTATCCATGCTTCACGCTTCCTTGAAGCGCTCGCTTGCACGACGACTCTACTTGAATTCTGCGTGTCATGGAGTGGAGTGAAAGAAGAGAAGCGGCGTGCCTTGTATTTTTTAAAATATAAATACATATTGCGCAATTGTTTTCATATTTCAAAGTACTGTATTTTGAATTAATTAAAATTAATATTTTATTATAACCGCATTATGTATCTTATTACAAATTTCTATACTACATGAGAAAAAAAAACGATAAAATTGCTATTGTACTCGTATATTCGAATACTGTATCAGTGGCGGAATGGAAGCGCTCCATTGTCGAATACGGGACAGCTTCCAAGCAGCCAGATTATGCGCATTCGCTTTAAAGAGCACCAATCTCACGTAATTTAGCTGGTGAATGCTACACACCAAAATATCGTATAATACTACGTTCGCACACAATCCACTACTCACTTCGATCTCGATTTACCTACAATCTGGATTGTAACTGTCGCCAGACGAACGTCGAGCTGTTCACACAGGCAATCCGCTTGAGAAGAACCCGGCTATTACACGCGATGATAAAACTGACTTAATAACTACGCGGTAAGTCACGAACACCAACAAACAAAATGGAAGTTTTGATTAAAAATAAATACTTTTTCTTGCCATACATCTAATAATAGACAGACGTCATCGTCTCTCCAGATGTCTTTTTTATTTCTCTGTCGATAGTACATGTTCCGCAGCCATCTTGTATTTTCTCGCGCGCGGGATTGTGGGATCTCTCTTATGACTGGATCTAGTTTCGAGAACTCTCTTAAGCCGATCGCGATTGAACCTCGTTTCAGTCGAGATTGAAACGGTCGAGAGAGGTCTCATCACGGCAAAGTCGCCGACCTTGGTCACAATCTAGATCAGTGTTCCGCAACCGGTGTGCAGTCACAAGATGAAAGGTGTATGGGAAGCTAGACCCTATGTAGATGAAGAAAACACGGAACACTCCACGTGGCCAGCCCGTTTGCTATGCCAGAACTCACTACTAACTACCAGAGTTCGTGGTTTTGTACACTGCTACCGGAGGGTGCTTATTAGAATTAAGAAAGTGCCGTTCAGAAATGAAAAAACCCGAATTGTTAGATGTGGAAAATTAAATACAGTACTTGTAGATTTTTCACAGAGTAACACTTTTAATTGAACGCAGGCAAGTGCTATATGGTACCGTCTTGGTAATGATATAGCGCGTAATATAGCGCGTATAATATCATTATCTCAGTAATTAAGTAAATATAATATACTGTATATTTTTTTGGTATAAGAATTATATTTAGTTTATTATTTTGTTAATTTTTTTGCCAATATATGGCGCTACGTGTAAATAAGCAAATGCAATGTAGATGGAAAGTAATTGACTTACAGAAATTCAATAGATATTTTGGAGTCGGATGTACGACATTATCTAAGTTAGGTGTATATAAACGTAACTGCCGAGTTTCATGGCAATTAGTCGAATGGCCTAGGAGTGTATATCAAACCAACAAACAAACATTCTCGTTTTTATATATGAATAAAGTTAAATAATTAATTTTCGTATTTTATATTCGCCAAAAAAACTAAATTGGTTTCGAAGTCTTCCAGAGTTGTATGGCCCGCTCGGCCATCCTGCTTTCAATCTTTGAATCAAAAATGGCCCTCAAATATTTTATTCGGATTTTCCTCCACTGTAAGCCTGTGAAATTTGACCAAACATTTCTGAAACACTAGATTAAGAGCAGTTCAAATTAATTACTATGAGCAATGGAAAATGTACGACGGTTTGATTCATTATTATTTTGTTGAATACATACCCCGTATCTTCCGAATATTGCCAAAAGACAGCTCCTTGCAATGCTCGTGCTATGCACGGGGCTGCCTTTTGGCAATATTTCGACTATTTATTTAATTCTCTTAAGCGATAAATAAAAATCAATTGAATTATTAAATAGTAAAAAAAAAATAGTGATTTCTCTTGCCGCTATGTTTTAAATTTACAAAAACCTGAATTTTTGTGATTTCCGTTTCCGGTTTAACGGAAACGGAAATCACAAACATTGCCGTCAACGCACAAATATACGTTCTTTTCACAAAATGAGACATCTATCTTACGAAAAGTGTCATACATATCATAATAAATTAAAATAATTACCTTTTAAATTTACAAATAACGCATAAANTTCCGTTTCCGGTTTAACGGAAACGGAAATCACAAACATTGCCGTCAACGCACAAATATACGTTCTTTTCACAAAATGAGACATCTATCTTACGAAAAGTGTCATACATATCATAATAAATTAAAATAATTACCTTTTAAATTTACAAAAACCTGAATTTTTGTGATTTCCGTTTCCGGTTTAACGAAAACGGAAATCACAAACATTGCCGTCAATGCACAAATATACGTTCTTTTCACAAAATGCGACATCTATCTTACGAAAAGCGTCATACATATCATAAATTAAAATAATTACCTTTTAGATTTACAAATAACACATAAAAGACATCATGACTAATTTATATTATCGAGTATAAATTATTAAGATATAAATAACAAAATAATTATTTCCAAATTAAAAAAAGAAGTAATAATAATAAGCATTTTCTGTAACGAATTACTTTTTTTAATACATAAAAATGAAAAAAGTAATTAAAATAAAACTAATTAAAACGAAACGAAAGAAACAAAAAATAAAATTAATTAAACGAATTTCCTGTATCGTTTGGCTTTTCGTTTCCTTAAATTCCGATAGGAGGCGCACGAAGGAGGAAGGCGGAAGAAAGAAGTGCAATGTTTGTAAAGGAGTGGTTTTTGCATCCCTTATGGACTTTTCGTTGACGTTAAATAACTATAAAAACAATTACGATTAAATTAAGAGTCGTTGATAATCATTGTTAACTTTCATCAATGTCAAAATGTTATAGATGATGTAGTAATAAAGAAATGTCATCTCTCCTATTAATACAATGGGGAGTTGTATTGGATCGCCACGCAGCAGACCTTCGTCGGCGATTGAATCGACAGACGGAAGTTTTCAGCAGAATGGTAAGAATTTTTAGGCTTTAGAGATTAAAAAAATCCTCTAAAATCTAAATTATATTCTGGTTTTTTCAATATATAAATATTATGTAATTGTGACGTATCCTGACAGCTGATAAACTCCCGCTTATCTGTGTGATAGTAGGAAGATGCCAAATCGCATCCGCATCTTATCGTACAGGTGATTGATGTAAATAAAGTGTGAATTGCTACATACAGAAGTCTACACATGGCTGAAAATATGTTAGAGGAGTGGTGTAAATGAATGTTGCTCCAAAGCCAAAACAATAAAAAAGGTTACAGTGCTATAAAGTGCATTTAATCCAGTTTACATTGTGTATTACTACATAGGATTTTGAAGTAATAATAAACCACAGTAGCAGAGAATATAAGGTGTTGTATTGTAAATTTCTTGTTAGTATCAGTGTGTCTGTACGATCGGGTGGAGATTTCGTATCTTTCTGCCCGTATGATGGAATTTACCTCTTCCTACTTAGTGACGATGTTTCAAAGGTCGTCTTTAAATGTACCGCGCCAAGTTTTACTTGGATCGGTGTATTTGAACATAAAAGTGAAGTAATTAATATTTATATAATTTAGAAATGAAATAAATGTTCTGTTTAATACTGTCAAGTTCACTGAATTATAAAGTTCATTAAGGTTCTTTTTTTAGTAATTTGTCAATGAATATTTTCTAAAAATTATATTTTCTTTTTGGTATTTATGAACTTGACTGCTTAAGATCAGAATCTAAATGTAAAATGTTAGTAGTATTGTGAAGTTATAAATTGATGACATTTTAGCTTTCCTGACTATGGATTTTTTGGGGTTTTCTATGCAAATGTTTATGCTAATTACAAATCATCCATCGGTTCATTGTTATGAAGAAAAAGTTGATTTATTTTAAAACTGGTAAAGATGACTCAGTGGATATAAACATTAGAAATCTTGAAAGAGTCAAAGGAGTCGCATATTTATTTGCATTAAGCACTTTGCGGAACAAAATTCAATGTTCTGACAATTCAATGGAACAACTGTTTGCACATAACTTTTTGAATCTAACTAATCAATGTGTTTGAACTAGTAATGTTGGTCGGTTAGATTCAGAGTTATGCATGAACAGTTGTTCTGTTTGAATTGTCAGAACATTGAATGTTCTGAAAATGGGATCAAAAATCTCAAAGTGCTCAATCCAAATAAACATCCTGACTCCTTTTAATCCTTTAGAGTTTTCTTCTAACATTATTATATCTTGTTTCAATGGTTATTATAATTTATTATTACCATTTGAATTATTTCCTTTGATTTCTGCACATGAAGACATATTCAAAACCAATGCAAATAACCAAAAATATTGTATTCAGATCATTTGTAACCATCCAAAACCATATTGTTACCTATAAGTATTCTAACCTACGCTACACACAAAGTAAGACAAGAAATCTACAATATAATGATGAAAACTATTTTTCAATATTATATTTGTGATATATATGAAATACTTTTAATATTATTCAAAAGTATTTGAAATATTTTAAAATAAGTGCAGTGACTACACAATCTAAATATAAATCCAACTTCTATTGGAGGAATTTGGAGCCTAATTAATTATAGCATTTTGAAAATATTAATTTTTTTTATTTTTTGATAATCCAATTAATTGAATGAAAATATTGACTCTTATAAAGTTTCTAAGGCTAACTGTTAAATAGGAGCCTTGTCAGAAAGTTCTCAAAGTGGCATTTTCCCTGCAAATCTGAATAGTGAATTTTAAGGAAAAATTGGATGATGATTAAAAATAAACTATAATCTAAAAGTATTTATTAAAGACTGTGTTTTATTTTACTGTGTTTAAAATGAGGTATAAATAACAAACAATATAAAACAAACAGGAAATACTACAGACTTTGAAAGTAACAAAGAATATCCAAATTTAAGAAGCATCTTAAGATATGTCCCAGTTTTGAGCTTGAAAATATGAAAAACTGCATTGTAAATTTGAAACAATACAGTATTTAATTTTTTATTCAGTATTTATTGTATTATTTTATGGTTGTAGAAATGTTTACAGCTTTAATGTGTAAAATTTTTGCTTAGAAGTAGGAATAAGAATGTTTATTAGCCAATAAATAATGTAGCCATTGAATCTGACAATATCTTGGATAACAAATTTTAATTACAGTTAATAATTTAACATGTTGGTCAAAGTGCAGTACAGAGTACAATGAATATAACTTATATTTTTGAACTCTACTTAAGTAATATAATACAGGAAATTTTCTAATTAATGAATTTGAAGGGGGTCAATATTTTGAGTTCTTGATATAAGGAGGATAACAGTAACTGATCAGGGACTTTGCAAATATAAAATGCATTTAGAAATAAACTTTCCTAATAAAAAGTGGTCAAATCTAAAAATGCATAATGTTTGTTTATTTTCTTTGCAAACCATTTGTAATGGCACTGCAGTCTGTTGTACTCATGTAAATGTTGCCAGAAATCCAACAGTGGTTTGTGCAAACAATTACTAAAAAGTTGCAAAAACCACTATTTTTCTACAAAGCCAAGGATAAAACTTTGGCTTTTAATGTCAGAAATCTGTAGATAAGAGTAAGAAGTTGGGGATAACTGATTTTAATAAGCAAGTTGAACCATTGACACAAAAACAGCTATAAATTTTCTTCAGAAGTAACCCAATTGACTGGAAATTGTAGGATCTGGCAAGTTGTCCTGTCTGTATTTAAAACAATCCGTAATTGTTGAAGATAGTAATGTTCATAGTTGGAGCAAGTGTCCTTAATCACTCCTCAAATAGATAGGATGTTGACAGTTATGATACAGTCTTCTGCAACATAAATGACAAGTCCAAAATAAAGGAAACTTCACTAGAAGGTTTTGAAATTTATTTATATGGCATAAGAAACCATTTATTTGTTTGTTTGTATACTGGGATACATATACTTTTCGTTTCAGATGGGTCAGTCTGTAAGATCAGATCAGTCTTTATCAAGCTGTACAGATTGCTTCTGTTGTGTGTTAGTTGTGTGAGATCTGGAATTTTATTAATCTAAAAATTTTAATTATCTTTTGTTATATAACAGATTGAAAGAAAAAACGATCTTAGCTGGGAATGTGTAAACCTTCCTTCCATAACTGTCAACATTCTATTGTTCTCACATAGCATGCATCTCGAATTGCACAAAAGTTTATAGTTAGCATCCATATTTTGTCATTTGTTTTGGGTCTCAGGAACACCTATAACTTTTATCTCCTATAACAACTGATTACGTGACCGATTTTCCCAGCAAAAAGCTATAAAAAAGGTTTCCTACCCCTCTCGGGGAGTCTCCTAACGAAAGCCATGCCGATGACATCAGATACTGTCTAGTAGAATCTCCGAACCTGCCAAACATTCTGAACCTCCCACATCGAATACTGTCCGTTAGTCGCAAACTTTTATATTTGTGACAATTTGGATTACGTTAATAACCACTTAATGGATATCAATGTGCATTAATGAACTTGAATCTTCGTGGAAACCTACAAAGAGGTATGAAAATCCATGTAAACTCTTTCTTGAGCTCTTAGGCGTATTTAGCGTTGCGATTCATATGTGTAGTTTTTGTTAATCTTGTCTATTTTAATAAATTCTTGTTTAATTGTTAAATGGTAGACTCCTTTACTCGTATACTGTGTACGCCTTATCGTCGACCCCGATTACTCTTCCTCCACTCAACTGACATAGAGCAGAAGTCCCTACCCTCGGGACCATTATCGTAAAATAACCATCTTGACAAGTGAAGGAAAGGAAGGTGCGACCGTCCTGACCTCCCTAGCAGTTCACAGTTGGTGGAAAGTATACAAGCAGGATTGAATCGTATTTACTCTGTGAATAAAATTGTTCACAAAATGGGAGAGTGCATGTCATGCATTCTTGCCATACAATTTCTCAAATTGTCTCTTAATAGTTATTTTTTTATCTCAGTTTACCAGATATTTTAATAGTAATGTTTTTATTTACCATTTATAAGTTTTAAATACTTTTTATTATTAAGAGTTAGGCATATTTCTTTGCTGTCAACTATAAGCTTGATTTTAACCATGGAGGTTGCCATCTTTAATCTGTTTTATTTATTTGATCCAAATAATCCTACCCTCCATTCTGATTAGTTTGATTGCAATCTAGTTGATCCTAGATTGCATTTGTATATGCAGAAAGCAATTGATCAGATTGCTATAGTTAATTTGTATACATGATTTGAACGATCAGAGTAATCTTGGATCAGTTTCAGTTATTTGATATAAGATGAATTTGGAATTGGGGAATTTAGTAGTCTTACATGATTAGTTGTTTTTATAACAATAAATCCAATAGCTCAATTTTAATTAATGCTAAATGATATGCTGGATATCTGTCAAGTTATTTTAAGGCTGATTTAATAGCTCGATATGAGGTAATTTTACTTTAGTCAAATACTTTAATTATTAAATTACTTTGTACCAAAAACACATTGTATTATATAAAATGTTTGTACTTCACGCTTCTCCAAAAGTCGGATAAATTTCCATATCTGGAACTCCACTCCTGTAACGCCACTGCACATAAGTGTTATAGTAACATTGTATTATATCTTGTTATAGAAAAAATAATTTTTTTCTCGGTTGCTGCTGTTTTTAATCTAAAGGTCATATTTTCATGAAACTGTTATATATGTACTGTATTATTTAAGTAGAATTAAAAATTATAAGTTATCCTTAGAACTGTACAGAATGTTTCCCTCAAACATTCCTAGTTTTAAACTATTCTTTAAAATCCATTTGTTCAGCTATATGAATAAAATGTATTGGATTCTCCAATACATTTTATAGAATGTTGGTCAATACTCCAAGTTTCACGTGTATATGCTTGGAAGGACCATTGTTGCCACACTGTCTAGATTGCTGGAGCCACATTTCTTGATCCATCTGATCATCCAACATCATCTCTTTTGAACATTTTTCTTTGT